TACATTTACTTTGATATTTTAATTCTATTACAATTTATGATTTCATTGATGACTTACGGTCCAGTGGGACTTCAATTGGAGCCACCACCTTTGACAGCAGCAAGATTATTGACAACACTGCTAGTGCCGCCCACCGCTCCTGCGTCCACATCTCTCTCCTCCAATTGGCTGACCCCTCCCGTCCCAGCTCCCTACTGATTTACTTGCACGCTTTTAGTTGCGCTGTATGACCTGTGAAGAGAAAAAATGCTTATTAAGGATTGACCCTTATGACTGGTTTTGTGGTCCAGGGTCACATTTGTTCATATTATTATATATATAGCCTTTGTGAGCATAAGAGTATAAGAGACTCCCTTCAAAAACGTTAAATAATCTTACTGACCCCAAACATATGAACAGTAGTGTATGTATTTTATACTATGTATATAAATGTAACTGCTCTGTCTCTCTATCCAAACAAGGGTCCTTGGTCTTTAAAATGCTTTTGTAATATGGAGTATAAGCGTACAAAAGAAGACACAGTCATTAATAGTGTGATCAGATGCTTGTCATTTTCCAGTAGCCCCTGCTGCTGAATACATTCAGAGAGGTCAAGAGGTCAGAAGGGTATTATGAAGTGCTCAGGGACAGGATCAGTGCTCCAATCTTCTCTGTCTACACAGATCAATAGAGATTCACACAGACAGGTCTGTAGTGAAAGCTGGAGAAAGATGGGGGAGAGATGATGCAAAAGACGGAATGCGAGAACAAGGGAAAATGAAAAAAGAGAAAGGAAAAGAGAATGATGGCGCCTTGGGAATACAGGCGGAGAAGGGGAGCTGGGGAGGTGCTGACAGCCCCTGGTCATGCTGAATCTCTCTCTATTGTTGAAGCTGGTGAGCACTGAGCGCCGCTGGGCTGTCTCGCTCTGTATGAGCTTTCAAATAATTTTTCATAAGATTTTAAGCCAAACCTGGATGGCTATTATTAGAAGGAAACTGAAAAAAAAATGGAGGAGTAAAACAAATACAGTTAGACAACTGAAGGGCGGAGTGGATTTATTGGTTTCTTTGTTTAAGATGCAGTTCAGATAGAATGGATTTGCCTCATTTACTACGGTACCATAGAGCGCAGCTTATAGCAAGACGGTAGGAGAACTAGGGATTTTCAAATTTGCTTAGCTGACTAATCGGTCTAAAGTGGAATTAAGAGATCATGAAACCACTGAGATTATATTTTGTGCAACCAATTATTTTAGCACAGCACTGATGTCCAATCTAAAATCTGGATCCTGAAACAAAACCAGCTGAGAGGCACTACTATAATTTAGGGTAGTGCTGTTGTAGTTGTTTCTGAAAATATGCCCCATAATATCGCTTTGGTCTGTTTATGACAGCTTGTTTAAAAACTTATATTCAATGGCAAAGTTTGATTATGCATTAAATAATAGATGTGATACTGATATCACGCCTATTATTTAATGCATGAAGGCAGAACAATAACCCCATTACTACCTCAAAGAGTGGTTTGAAACCCTCATCAAAAACACAAATTAGTGCAGGGTATATAATTTATGTTGCGAGTTGAAGTGGCACACTATGAAGGTCTGAATATGTGTGCGTGTTGGTGTATGATGGGGGATGGGATTTTGATTCTCTGTTCCCTTGTGTACACTATAAAAATACATTTTCCTATCAACACGAATGAAAATATAAATATGAAGACTTCAATTGGAGCCACCACCTTTGACAGCAGCAAGATTATTGACAACACTGCTAGTGCCGCCCACCGCTCCTGCGTCCACATCTCTCTCCTCCAATTGGCTGACCCCTCCCGTCCCATCTCCCTACTGATTTACTTGCACGCTTTTAGTTGCGCTGTATGACCTGTGAAGAGAAAAAATGCTTATTAAGGAACGTACTCGACATTACTGTGACATTTCGGTGGTGCCACTGGCCTTCCAAAATGGACTCCTTATAGAGTCCTATCTATTCACATTTGGACATGTGTACTATGTGCCTGCTGTGTTCACGAGTACTGCAGGTGTGGGCTGTGCATGCGTGGAGGTTTTAAGCTAGCCTACATTTGCAGTTGACACTAGTGTTCCCTAGAGCCTATGGCCCTTTTACAGATGAACGTGGTATCAGCACATCACCATGCCTACACAACACCATACAAACCTCCAAACCAAGAAGAAAAGGACTCTTGCCGGTCAATCTGTTTCTTTGACAGGGGGACTGAACTCAAGGATGGAGGACAGGGCTGTTATACAAACCACTAAGGTCTGATAGCAGACGTTAACTCCTCTGGCTTTAGCTGTATGCTCTGGCAGCTCCGTGTCTCTGCACTGGTACATCTGTCAAATCCTGCCTTCATAAAACTGACAGTCTCTCCACACTTTCCTATGCGCTCTCTCTCGACGCCTTGAATAACGGCACATACACTCTGGAGGTCAGTGACAAACTCTTCCCTGCAGATAGCATCTAGTCGGAATAGTTGATCTTGGAGCGATTATGTAGATGAGCAGCCGTGGCCCTGTAATTCACATGCCTCAGGTGGTCTGGGTATCAGGACCCTTTATTACATGGAAAAATTGCAATTTCAAAATCAGTGGTTGGAGCCTTTCTCTATCCGCTCTACTGAACACAATGTGGAATGATGATTTTTCCAGCATTCTGCTCTTGTGGTTTGTTGTTCAATTAATCAGATATTACAAACTCTGTGTTCTCTGTCAGTTGAAAGTTTGAAATGTACTAAACAGATGGAAAAATGAGAGTTGGATCAAGTGCAAAATTCTTTCATCACACTGATGTAATCATTATCAATATCTGCTGCATGGGTTCAAAAGTACCTCATCGTCCCCAAGGGAAGACGACGCATGCCAGCTCCTCGTGTCATTCAGTCAAGAAGGGCTAAAACTGACTGTAACATGAAACATGCTGGACAAATAGGTGTGGCTTTACTTGTCAATGTCAAATGACAGGGACAGCCAATAAAATCAAAGAAGATGGGCTTTACTGTTCACAGAAGCCAAACATGAATTACAGCGCAGAGCTTCAGTTTTAACTGTAAACGAGTACAAGGTAAGATGTAGGAAAACATTTCATATTTGACAACTGTTTTCCAATAAAAATGTTAAACTTATAACAGTTTTGGTATAGGTTATAATTCACGCGATTCATCTAATTCACAACTGAATGGGTCCAGATGAGAAAAAGATCCATTCAAAAAAGATCCATTGTCAATAGTGTAGCTATGCATGAAGCATTTGGTTAATATAAAAAAAAAATGGCTGCCCACTGCTCCGGGTGTGTGTTCACGGTGTGTGTGTTCACTGCTGTGTGTGTGCACTTTGGATGGGATAAATGCAGAGCACTAATTCCGAGTATGGGTCACCATACTTGGCCACATGTCACGTCACTTTCACTTTTTCACATATGCCGAATTTGCGTGACCAACTTGATCCAGATACATTTACACTTAACACCACCAATAAAGCTAAAACCCAATAATAGATATAACTGAGGTGAAAAAACATAGCACTAAATACATTAATGAAGTTGTTACAATCAAAAAACTATGCTTGCTATATAAAAAAAAAGCCATTTAGCATGTAACCGCTGAACTACTTGAGCGCTATTTAAAAATGCAGTTAAGTTAGTAGCATCGCTACTTTTAAATGGTTATTCAACACTTACGGTATGTGAATATAAAGAGACAAAGAAGGAGAGAATATAAAAAACAAGAGAGATGCCGCAAACTCAAAAACGTCTCGAAAATGCCCTTCAACCTGAACATCAGGTCATAACGGAGTCCAGGTGGTTAGAAAAAGAGACAGTCTGAGGCCTGGAGAGAACATGGGCTTAAGCCAGAAACAATCTGCCAGAGAGCATCCTTTTATTTTTTGTTCAAACTTTTTCAAAGAGCCAGAATTTCTTTAGGCTGCCAGGAATCCAATAAGCACAATTACAGGAACCTGCTAAATCGTTTACCACTTTTGTGTCAAGGTAAAAAAACAGGTCTGATACATATGCATACAAGCACATCCACACATTTATATAGCATGCATGCCTCCAGGCTGAAACTCTTCTGGCAAGAGTTCTTTGGCAGGCTCAGCTGTCTGAGAAACTCTACTGTCTGTTGAACGTCAGTACAGCAATGATCTAACCCAAATACTGTAAAAAGACCAGAGGAAACCAACAGCATTGCCAGTTTCACCCCCCATCATACTGAGGCTTTTCGGTTCATTCCAAAGGAGAGAACTGAGGTTTAGACACATTTGATGAAGTGCTTTGTGCTCTGTGAGCTGTAGTATATTGAGATTACAGAGAAGCATCTCCCATTCTGGTGTCCCCAGCAATGTGAAGACAGGAATCATGGAACACATCCTAGACGAGTGGGGGGGAGGGAGCGGTGGTACAAGGTTGCCAAAGGCCAGACAAGCAATGGGTTAGTCACTCGCCAAGTAGATTTCCATCATTTCATTCATAGGGTCTAGAATTCAAAACATATTTAACAACAAGCACAAAATAAGAGTAAAACTAGCTTAATAATTGACCAGAACCATTGACTGGTTGTCTGACTAAAACAAATACATAGGGTCTAGTATAGAAAATCTTTAACAATTTTCCATGTGTTGACAATAGAAGTCTATTTTTGCCTTAATTTAAAAAAAAAAAGTAATTGTGACATTATATATTAATATTTATTTCTTGCAGTTGCAGCTTTATATTTTATAATGTGACTTTATTCCATGATTTACACGTTTTCTTAGAAATCAGTGTTGTTATAGTTAATTAGAACAAAAACTATTAGAAATAATTTACGTTAATTGAAATAAAACTGAAAAATATAAATATTAAATGAAAAGCTAAAGATTAAAGCCATATAGAATTATTAAAAAATAATAAAAATGACAAAAGCATGCAACAAAATTACTTAAACTAAAATTAAAACTGAAAATATAAAAATAAAACAATTAAAAATTGTAATAAATACTATAATAGTACATAAATAATACTAAGGCTATAATACAGGCTTTCCATATGGTGACACATTAGGCCAAAGAAACATACATGGGACAAAATCACTACTGGTCTTGTAGGTGCAAGTGATATAAAAGTCTGTGGCGTTTATTATAGACATGGAAGAAAAAGGCAAAAAGAATCCAGTAAAATGGCCACCAAGAAATATTATGGACCCACATTTCCCTGCCATTGTGTGGGGAAGTTAATTTTTGACCCTGGTACGCACTTCAGAAAAAGCATCTTCAAATCACAGCTAGACCCTAGTTAACTCCAGCCCTTAGTTAAATTATTTATTTTCAAATTAGACCTCACATTTAATTATGTTAACACCATCTCATCAACTGCATTCTGGGATTCATTAATGCTATATAATTAAACAGCCTGTGTGCTCTTATTAGCATGGATGTCGAGATGCATCCATGTTTCAAGTTAGTATCCTTTCAAGTTAGACCTTTCTTCAACAACCAGAAAAAACAAGATCATTTTTAATGCAGAAAAACAGAAACCTTCAGATGGCATATTTTTACCCAAATGGCTTGTTAGATCTGGTCTGAGGGGACAGAGGTGGGCTTCAGTGTGCAACTACAACAGTCATTTACAACATAATAGTCCTGAAACCCACTTGAGCTCCATCAGAGCAGGTGAGTGGGCATAGTGATGGACTCTTCACTCGGCAATGGTCACGGTTATCACAGCTTATTAATGCATGATGACAACAGCACCCACTGGAAGACCTTATTCAGTGACACATTTTGAAATAGTTTTGATGCACTTCAGGGCTGCAGTCAAATTTACAAAGACATCTAGTATTCTGAAAAAGAGAATGGACTCTGGCTGCATTTACACTTTCAGCCAGATTTGATTTTTACATTGATATGTGGTAGTTGCTGCATGTAAACTGTGCCATTGTTAGGTCAAATGTCCTTGGTGCCACTGTATGTTGAAGGTCTAGCAGTCTGGGGTTTCATCTCTCTGTCTCTCCATGTCCCTAGTGTGCTGATGGTAGTACAGCCTCAGGCAGTCTTCTCATCCAAACACACGCACACATATTACCCATACTCCCACTCTATAAATACTCACATGCCCATCACAGCCAATTACCCTGAGTGGAGCTGTGCCTCTCTGCCCCAGACGCCCCACTCACTCCTCCTCGGGCCCCCTTCTGCACTGTTCTTCACTGAGACAGATTTTGAGGATGCTGGACTAGATGCCCCCTACAGCTGTCACTTACACACACACCATATGCATGTTTTAACACTCCATTTTCAATAGACGTAAAAAATGTTACACTCGTTTTACCTGAGGGCATGAGGGAGATTTTCCATAATGTCCCACAGACAGTGTGAACACTAAAATAAGTATTTATATATGATAACATCAATATCGTTCACAGTGACATAAGATGGCTATCTGATACCAAAAATATATAGTAATTTATCCAACATTTAATGAATAAATGAATACACATAGTAGATAAATAATACAGTAATATATTATAATACGGCTCTCTAGAATTTATTCTAACTGGTCAATCACAGCATTCATTGGTTAAATGAATATTTCTATATAGTGACCAATGAATGTTAAATGGTGTAACAGACTAAACTGAATAAAATTTAATTAAATTAAATTTGTAATGAAATATAATATGACTCTCTGGAATACCTGATTGATCATTCTACAATACATATTTTTACTAAATAAATGACTAATGACCACTAAACAGTAAAATTGACCATAAATAAATTAGAATAATAATAAAAAAATATGACAGCTACAGGGCAATCAAGATAATAAGTATAAACTTACACAAAATGGTTGGAAATTTGGCCAATTTCAAGACTGATGATGGCAGAGACTTCTCAGACCTGTAAAGACAAAAAAAAAAAAGGGTTTATGATCATTTCAAAATATGCATGTGTTCGGTTCACCTGTATTCATTTATTATTATTGTGCTAATTTTAGTTCGTACCTAAATACCGCAGGTTTTTAATAGAGAAGGTCACACAGAAGCAAAACTGGTTGACTCTCTTTTAATTTTCTGTCCTCTACCTGCAGACATGAGAGGCTTTACTATAACATGAGACATTCCACTTCACTTAAATGTACCATCAATATCTGTGACCCTGAAGACAGATGAGATTATTGAGTACTGGACAGGAGTTGTATAATCTTAACCTCCGAGATGGGAGCTCGACCTCTGTCAAACAGAGGACAACAAGGCCTTTCCTAACTTGACATAATATTGAGGGAAGAAGTGAAGGAAATAAGGGAGCGAGAGAGACGTGACAAATATAGAGCGATGGATGAAGTGCTGATAGATGGGTACAGTGAATCCTGCTGACGTCTCGTTCTCCTGTGGCACACAGCACAGACTGATCTCTATGGACGTTAAAGATGCTGAGTAGGAGAACATACAGAAAATACCCTCAACCAATACACTGTGAGGATGTGAGCGTGCTCAGGACATTGGGGACAGCTTGTCTGTGACCATTACATTTCCCAGTTGCACAATTCTAAAATGTCCAGAACACTTTGCTTTATAACATTTGACTTAACTCCAAACACTAACACCATTTGTGCTATGAACATGAATGAAATGTCATATGGCTTGCTGAGGAGAGGTGTGCTTTTTTTTTTTTTTTTTTTGCCTGGTAGACAAATAAAATGGGTGGAATAATCCCACAGATTTATGCCACATTCACACAGCATCAGAATATGGTTATCAGTCCTGTATTTGAGTCCTTAATACGGTTACATTCACACACAGTACGGTCATTTACAGGAATGACAACCGCTTTCTATAAACAATCTCACACCTGTACATTTTCAGGACTCACAACCGCATTCTTGGAAAACCTGCGCTGTGTGAACGGAACTGCACTCGACAACTAGCTGTCTGTCACATCATAAAATGCAAGAGAGCTGCTCTGCATGTGTCTAGCGCTTGTTGCAGGTTTTCACGTGTTGTTTCACTAACCGATATATAGCTGTGTATCATGTGAAGGTTTAGATCCAGTCACTGGATCTAACCGGAGCCGCTCTTGTCAGTTTTGTGTTCTACGTGTGACTCAAATGCTCTGCTGTACACCCAAATATACTGTCGGCTAATGAAGAGTTGACGGATGAACTCGTGGCTCAATTGGACTCTTGTTGTGTCAAAAAATTGTAAGACTTTTCAGTTTTATGGACGTCTTGGATATTACTTTGATCACTGACGTTATGGTTACTGGTAGGGCTGGACAATAATTCAATATCAATATGTATCGCGATATAATTTTTTTCAATAACGGTGATATGATTTTTAAACACATTTCCGATATTTCGATATACATTACCAGTGTTTCCCATACTTATTTGTGGCGTTTGACTTCGTTGAATAAACATGAGCACTGCACGTTTCAAAATCAAAACACGTCGATTCCAGTCTTCAGTGTCACATGATCCTTCTAATCATTCTAATATGCTGATTTGCTGATTATCAATATTTAAAAAGTTGAGTACATTTTTTTTCAGGATTCTTTGATGAATAGAAAGATTCAAAGATCAGCATTTATCTGAAATAATAAGCTTTTGTAACATTATACACTATTCCATTCAGTATAATTTTTATTATTTTTTTGGGAAAGAAATGATAGAAATTAATACTTTTATTTAGCAAGGATGCTTAAAATTGATCAAAAGTGATGATAAAGGCATTTATAATGTTACAAAAGATTTCTATTTCAGATAAATAGTGTTCATATCGATATCGGAATTATATTGTATCGACCGAAATTAAGAAATATATCGTGATATCAATTTTGGCCGTATCGTCCAGCCCTAGTTACTGGTAAGGAATACGAGCTTTGCACGTTCATACAGACAGTGAAAGGGACATTTCAAGACTCACAACTGTAAGAAAATGCGGTTGTCGATCCCAAAACCTGAAAGTGTAAATGTAGCCTTATACTGAGGGAAGGACTCAAGCCATTCCTAGTGGTCAAAATATTCAGCCAGCAAGCAACCATTTAGCAACCACGCAAAACACTGTAGTAACTGTACCCTATAAACCACCTAGAACATTATATCAACCACCTACTCTAGCAATCCATGCATAGCAACACACTCATAAATACTAAGCACACCCTAGCAACCTCCTAATAACACTCTACTAACCGTATAGAAAAACACGGGGAACACCTAGCAACTAGGGCTGGGCGATAAATTGATAATTATATTATAAATGTTTGATATAATGTTTATGTACCAAAAGCGGAAGGAAACCGCGCTACTCATTTGAACCGCGCCACACGGACCATTTATCTGCTCAGCTCAAAGTTCAAATGGCAGCACAGCGCGAGCACACTAGAGCAGATGCGTTCACTCAGCCACGCGACCACTTAACAGCACTGTGAGATCCAGTGTGAAGGGCTTGAATTCGGCGAAGAACACAAATGACTCGGTGATTTAAACTAGTTTAAAGCTAGATGAAACCAGAGACTGGCTACTATTTGGAGATGAGAGGGTCTGTATTACTTATGCCACATTCACGCCATGTGATAATTACTGTGATTTCGAGATGACAGCATGTGACGTTCAAGCTGCTCACTCCCTTGGCCTTGGACTTGGAACTATCGCACTATCAATGCCTAAACATAGCGCCTAATGAATCTGAGGTGGTCAGGTGGTACAAGTTGTAGTTCTCAGAAAACTCCCAGTTCATAAGTTGTAATTATGAGTTCTGAGGACGTGAACGCTTTTTACAAGTTGGTATCTCGTAACCTTTACTACTGGAGAAAGAGTGACGGTCAGCTTGGATCACATATGCCTTGATAACCAATCACATTATAGCCTTGACGTCATTGAATTTCAGTCAGAGTTGTGTGACACTCAGTCGCCGTTTACGGATACCATAGGAGGGAATGAGAAGCGCTGTAAGCTGTACCCCACCTGTCGCAAAAAGTCAGTGACTTCTCTTACAAATCGACTTTTTTTTCCCGGTGTAAACTCTAAAAATAGTTAAATCCAAAACTACTGTTTAGTGTAAAAATGTTGAAGATTAGCCGATAGGCTGTCAATTCATTAAATGATAAGCTGTTTCCTCAAAAAAGCTGTTTATTCAGCGTAGTGAAGCCTCTCCTCCACTGACATCCATTCAAACAAAACGGCCTCTGGTCTCATTCCCTGCGTACCGCCAAAGCGGAAGCATTAGCATTAGCCGTTACGCTTTTTTGGCTAAAGGTTGCAGGCTTGCCTTCCAGTGGCTTTGATGAAACAGTGCTGACAAACAGTAGAAACACTGTGCACAACAATACAGTTCAATCTACAAATCACCATAATTTACCATGGATTTACTGTAGTAACACTAACTACACCGTGGTATTGTGGTAGAAATGTGGAATATTCATATCAAATGTTATCATATTATTAATGTAGACATGTATTAAATGTTTTAAAGGAGTAATGGAATATAATTACAGTATTTTTTGTGATTAAGCTATAGCGTTTGTGCATTTATACTAAATGTATTTAGACAATACTTTTTTCATACTAATACCTAGAAACATAAATGTATATCTGCATCCTAACTCAAGCTACTACTACTGTCAACTCAAGCTACTGAGAAGTTTCAAACCACAATTAATGATCTGGTTTCTACAACTTTCAGAGTACAGAGGCTAGAGGCTACAGAGAACACCCTAACAACTACCAAGCAGCCCCCATAACACCCTAGCAACTGCATAGCAATCAAAAACACTCACAACACCCTAGCAACCACTAAGCAACCACAAAAAAAGACTATATGATAAAGCAGTCACACTGTGTAGTGCAAGAAAAATCTTCTAAATGTTCTAAACTGGCATTTAAGGATAGTCAGATCTGAAATGATGAATATAATAGTTGTGCAGTTTTGTGTGACAAATGTGGACAGTTCTGACGGAAAAGACAGACATGAGGACACGCCAAACCAAAAACAACCCACAAAAGCCAGGAGGAAGGTGGTCTGAATTTCTGCTCTCATTGACAACCAGACAACCAGTCAGTCACGCAATTGTACACACAGCCTCTTGCTCACACTTCACTAGACCTCTTCCCAGGAGCTTACAAAAGGTTTTTCCTGCCTCCCTTTAAGCGCAATGTTTACATGCTTTTTTAGTTTTACATCTATTGTCTGTTTGTCCCCCAAATATCTCATATTGTCCAGTAACATCTGCTCCTCACAGAATACTCTTCCTGTCTGACCTCTGACCATGGGCGTAGCTTGTGGGGGGGCCAGGGGGGCCTGGCCCGTGTGGCAAAATAGAAGCGCAGCTGTAATTCGTGGGCAATGTATGTGGTTACCATGACAACCTCACGCACTTGCCACTGCCCTGTGTGAATGTGAATATGTAGATTTACTATAGCAAAACTAAAATGTGTTTAAAAGTACGTCTGACCAAATCCACCGGTTCGGTTTGGCCCCCCCAAGCTCAAACGTCAAGCTACGCCTATGCCTCTGACACTGTCCGTTACCGGATCTTATTAGCCTTTACGGTTCAGAAGGCCACAGTAATAATGGTCCACACAGATGGGCAAAACAGTCCAGAGGTTTATAGAAGAAAATATGCAATGTCATCCTACTAAAGCTTGGTTGTGGACACACTAATGCTTTAAATGAAACCAAAACTTGCACTAGAGGTGCAAAAAATGGACAAATAAACTAGATACGTAAAGAAGACTTCAGTGAAGGTAAGACAGACGAGTGTGCAGAGCTGTGTGGATCTCATGGTTGGCAGGAGCGATGGTTCAGTGTTGCAGAATGACCTAGTTATACCAGGAGAGAGGATGGAGAGAATAGATGCGGCGAGGAGGCGGCAGGGAGAGGAAAGGGAGGGGACGGAGAAAA